CAAACTCTAGTGAGTATAACAAAAAAGATGCAAACTCACAGATATAGAGAAAAACTAGTGGTTAACAGTGGGAGAGAGAGGTGGGGAAGGGCAGTAACGAGAGGGGATTAAAAGGTTCAAACTTATACATAAGTAAGTTACAAGGATATATTGTACAGCACAGAGTATATAGCCAGTATCTTATAATGACTGTAAATAGAATATTACCTTTAAAAGTTGTGAATCACTGCATTGTTCACCTGTGACTTATATAATTATGTACACCAACTATACTTAAATTTTTTTTAATGACTTCTTAAAATTCCTAAACTTAGTTGTGTGATTTCACTGAAAGCTGACATTTCATATAACTTCTCTCCACTCTCCACCTGTTGTCCCTACCAAGTAACCTAATCTCATCTACTGTTTTACCCCAGTTACTTTATTTATAGCCTAGCTACCAAAAGATTTATAGGTCCCAAATGCATTGTGCTGCACCATCCCTGTTTTTTTCTTTACTCAGAATGCTCTCATCCCCACTTATTCCCACATTTTCTGTTCTGACAAATTCATGCCTGTCCCAACACCCTTTGCAAGCGTCTTCACCTTTCTTGAGTTTTCTGTGACTAACGCTAGTAGAATGAATTACCTTTTCCTTTCAAACAAGTGTAGTTAGTACAACTATATTTTGTGCATCACACTATATAACAATAGTTTATTTCTTTCTGTCTCCCCCACTAAATTATCAACTTCAGAGCAGCAGCTACTTATTACTTGTTTCTATACCTGAAGCACCTAAAAACTTTCTTGGCCAAGTAGTAGGTACATGATAACAATGAGAATCATAATCATAATGATAGCCGTTATTTAATATATCTACTATGTGCCACATGACAAACATAGACAGCGTATTAAAAAGCAGAGACATCACTCTGCTGACAAAGGTCATAATAGTCAAACCTATGGTTTTTGCAGTAGTCATGTGTGGGTGTGACAGTTGAACAATAAAAAAGGCCGAGCACTGAAGAATTGATGCTTTTGAACTGTGGTGTTGAAGAAGACTCTTGAGAGTCCCTTGAACTGCATGGAGATCAAACCAGTCAATCCTAAAGGGAATCAGTCCTGAATGTTCGTTGGAAGGACTGATGCTGAAGCGGAAGCTCCAATATTTTGGCCACCTGATGCAAAGAGCCAATTCATTGGAAAAGCCTCTGATGCTGGGAAAGACTGAAGGCAAGAGGAGAAGAGGACAACAGAGGATGAGACGGTTGGATGGCATCACCGACTCAATGGACATGAGTTTGAGCAAATTCTGGGAGATGGTGAAGGACAGGGAGGTGTAGCATGCTATGGTTCATGGGGTTGGAAAGAGTTGGGGCATGACTGAGTGACTGAACAACAATGTGCCACATATTATTCAGTGTTTTTGCAGTTAGTAATTCATCCTAATATTCACAGCAATCCAGTCAGTCAGTTGGGTTCACAGTGTGGTTAAATAGCTTCCCCAAAGTTGCTCAGAAGCTACATAGCAAGGCTAGGATTTGAACCCAGTATTTATACCCACTACTAATAGAGTTCTTGCTTCTGTGGAGAATAATGAAGACTGTGTTCCCATGTTAACATTTTAGGCAGTGGCACATCAATCAAAATCACTAAATGCTGTACTTAGCTCTAACACTTTATTATGCTGAGTACATGTGACTTCCTCATGGGCATAATCTAAAATTTTTTATTTATTTATTTTAATTGGAGGCTAATTACTTTACAATATTGCAGTGGTTTTGCCATACATTGACATGAATCAGCCATGGGTGTACATGTGTTCCCCATCCTGAACCCCCCCTTCCCACCTCCCTCCCCATCCCATCCCTCAGGGCCATCCCAGTGCACCAGCCATGAGTGTCCTGTCTCATGTATTGAACCTGGACTGGTGATCTGTTTCACATATGGTAATATACATATTTCAGTGCTATTCTCTCAAATCATCCCACCCTCGCCTTCTTCCACAGAGTCCAAAAGACTGTTCTATACATCTGTGTCTCTTTCTGTCTCGCAT